CACCGCCACCGCCAACTTGAAGTGATATCCTGTGTGAATTTTTTAAATGAAACTCATTTTCTGTTCAAGCGGTGCTTAAAAAGGTCTTACAAACCGAAATAGCTTCAATTAATTATTGAGTGTTTAAATTATAATTCAAAGGGATTAAATGTTTGTACCTCCAAGGGATGAATCAATTAGCAGGGGCCAGGGGACAACTTAAAATTTTCAAATGGCAGTCCATAATTATAATGCAGTCAGATTTTACACACAAAAGTGTATCTATTGTCTAGAACTTTTTAAAATTGTTGTAAATGATTCTGCAGATTGCTGAAAATAGTTTTTTACCAATCCATGATAAGTTGTCACAAAAGGAGTGGGTGAAAGAATTTTCGTTGGCAGTGTGTGGTAAAATTTGTAGATGGTTGCAGTTATGATCCATAAGATACACACTGAAACAAAATTGTAAACCAGTTAATGGTACACAAAAGTGCACAATAACTCGAATGAGATTTGCAGGAGCACTGCAAACCTCATTGGTCAAAACACAGAATGTCTCGAGTTGCAGGCAATGCTTAGAAGATGTGTTTGTATGATAAACGAACAAGTATTTGACCAGTAGCTGTGAAGGGGTCAGAATCTAAAAACAAATTGCTCTTCAGGGAAGAAAAATGCTATTGGAAAAATAATAATGTACAATCTATTAAATAAAAGAAAATTGTAAACAAATTTGAGAACAGAAGGAAGGAAAGAAGAAGTTAATTGTTGTACTTGATTACATCCAAACCAGAAATCACCCTAGAATAATTCAAGAAACTTCAGGTTTAAAATTTTAATTTTAGAATTTTTAAAATACTGATTCTTAGATATTTTTACGAGGTCTTGCCCATCATCATCATTCAATAAAAGTGTAGGGCCTGAACTGAAACTTGGATAAATTTCAATTTTTCAGGGTTGCAGATTACGAGATTGAATCAAAATGATATTGTAAATTCAATATGAAAGACACGTTAGAAACTTCTGCAAAACTGCACTTAATTTGAATTTGGGTTTAATTTGGTTTTCGGGGTTGCTGATTACAAGTCTGAAGTCAAATAAGAACTCTTTAAGATAGGTGGACATAGTGTAACTACCTTCTCGAAATTTGTAAAACTTAAGTATCAGTTTAATTAAGTTCTTGTGGTGATTACAAATCTGTCTAAATAGCCAAATGTTTGATGATTCAATATGGCAGAAGCTTTAAAGGTATTGTTTATACTTTTTTTTAATTGAAAATTTATATTGTAATCAGCAATTTTCCACGCATATTGTAATAATGACTGAAATTTTGAAGCAGACATCTTTTTAAAAGAAAGTACAAATAGGAAAATTGTGTTAGAAAAATGTGATGCAATTTTAAGAGAGTGTGGAATATCTGCCGTTTTGGATTCTCAATCTTAAATTTTCCTTGTTTGACTTCAAATTTGTAGTCAGGATCCCTCAAAAATTCAAATGTGGGTTTTTGGATATTGTAGTTACACAATGCTGCTGTCATATTGAATTGGTCATAATTTTGGATTTATATTTGTAATCTGTGATACCAAAAGCATTGAAATCCATCTAAATGTCAGAGTGTGTAGACATGCATTCTTATTTAACAAGGATGAGTTAGAACTTACCATTATTTTAAAAATTAATATTTTTGGAAATAATGAGTTTGTAGACAAAAAAGTGTTTACATCTGTCTTTAGAATATTGGAAACTATCATGAATATATATTGGAGCTGAATCTGTGTGGTTAAGTTCAAGAATTTTTCATCTCAGTGTATCAACTGAATCTTCTGTAAAAATTAATAAGAAAATAAAGTTCGCCACAATTTTAAAAATTACAGCATTGTCTAAACTAGCTGAAAGCCATCAGCCAAAATAAAAATTTAGTTCATAGATTATTGTAATTTACACATATTGCTTCATATTGTTGTTCTGATTTTTAACAGGGTGTCCTCCGTATTCATGTGGTAGAAGCACGGAACTTGATGAAGAAGGACATTAGTATGCTGGGCAAAGGAAAGTCTGACCCTTATGCTATTATTACTGTAGGAGCAGAAGAATTTCGTACAAAGACTATTGATAACACAGTCAACCCCAAATGGGATTTCTGGTGTGAGGTAGGTCACATTACATTATGCTTACACATCAGGAAACAAACCTGATGGTGATAAGAGTAGTCATAGTTTTGGAAGTAGGAGTAGTACATGATGTCAAACCATGCAAATCACTACATTACATATGATTTGTGTTTACATTACTTGTGATGCCCCTCCTTTGAAAATGTAGAGACCTTGCTACCTCTTCTCATATTCGTCTCAGTTCCACTGTTGAGAGATTACTGCAGAATTAATAATCCTAAAGATTATATTTGCTTTGTTGTTAATTATGTATTATGCACATTAGTGTTTGTTGTATTAGCTGTGAAGGCTGTTGTTTTAAACCATCATTTATTCTTAGAAATTAACTATACTGCTTTTTGAAAGTCTGTTATTGTGTCCAGTATCATTCAAATTAATGTTGTGATATGAGCATATAACACCTGCGTAAGCACTAATCAATCTTTGAGGAGGCATATTGCCATTAATGGTTTATTTTGTGTATTATAGAGTTATGAAAATTTCATTCTGCTTTTTTGCTTTTAAATAAAGTTGTAGTGTATGTAATCTTAGCTGATTCACTTCTGTACTCCATTGTTGTACTAAATCAACAAAAATAGAAGTTAAAATATATACTAAAACACTTGGATGTGGGAAGCAACAGGTTCTGGTGGTTTAAATCATTTCCTTAATTTTTATTCTTAAAAATATTTTTTTATTCTTCACTGACTGTCTTCTTGTGTGGTATCAAGAAAAGTCTTCCTTATTTCATTTGCATATTTTAATTTTATTTATAATATTCCTTTCACTTGCAATTCTTCATTGAGCATGTAATTAATCATCTTTATTCTTGAAATTCTTCTAGATCAACTGTTCAGGTATTCGTGTTCTCACAATACATATATTGAAAAACATGTCGACTGGTAAATCATAACTTCAGTTTATATTGAAGAATAAATATTTGTTTATTAATGTTGGGATAAGCTTGTCAAATGTTTTAAAAATATTAGGGACCAAATATTTTATGATTTGAAAATTACTGACTGAACATGTCTTTCCAATGTTTTAGATCTTTATGGTGTGTTATGATGAGTACATTGTGATAAAACTGACCTAGTAAAATTGGATTACTTGATATATTAATTATTTCAGCTTGCTTAACGTTTATATTTTATTTTTTATTGGAAATAATTTCCCAGGAAAATTTAGTCTTTCATGTAGAATTCTGGATTATGTTCTGTTCACTTTAAATCTCTTGAGTTTTTGAGTATAAGTGAATAGTAGATTTGAATGTTTAAATATAATGCTATTTCTGTATCTATTTTTTTCACTCTGTTGAACTTCGAGCACTGGAAGTAAATTACATTTACTTAACCAGAACATTGCTTTTTCAGATGCGTACAAAAATACACTACTCATTCAGAAAAGTTGACAATTGGCAAATACTCCCCGATCTTGTGAATTTTGTCATCTCAAATTGTTGCAAATTTACATTTTTGTTGTGTATTTAGAAACATATTATCTACTTGTCTATTAATTTCACTGTAGTACATCATTGTTTTCATCATTGAAATTTTGAAGAGGAATTTAGTGATGATAGGAGTCAAATGTTACAATTTAATTGTATTTAAACTTCTGTGTAAAAGAAATTACAATGTAGTAGTCTAGTTAAGAAGAAAAATTAAATATTGCATGGGAATTAATGAAGTCATTAATTTGAATTAAATTAATTGCTTTAAAGGGTGAGCATCAAAACATCGCTTGAACATCGGTTGAAAAGCTTGCAGTAGCTTTGGAACGTTGCACAATCATGTTTCTAGCTTCTGATTAGTAATTGTGAGGAATATTTGAAAAGAACTAGGGAGTTCCATTTTTAATATTTTATTAGAAATACTAACATTAACCAGTTAACACCACAAACATTTTTAGACCCCCAAATGTTTAAAGTTGTGCTGGCAATTCTTAGACTGTGTGATGTGATTGTACCATTTTATTTTTTCTCTAAGATGATTTTGATGGTCATGAAATAGTAGCTAAAGAGGTTTTAATGTCTTGAATGGGAATTATATGATTGAAGGTATGAGAAAATCTCAGAATGAGATGTGAACTATTTGGGCTATAGTTAATTGGCTTATTGGTCAAATCATGCAGACTCTTGTTAAAAGTTGATTCAATAATAAATAACTTGAAAAGCAAACAATCTTCATAATATTATCAGTAGTACAAAGAGTTCAACATAATGCCAAAGAGAAAAAAATTTTACCGTCATCTTTTTATCTTCAAGTATTTCGGCATAATGCCTGGTACACCACTTAAACTTCATCTTTCCAACACATACTTGGATGGCCTATACTGTTCTTTTCTCTGGGTGCCTATCTTACCATTTAGGAATGCAATTGTTACTCATTTATAGCAGATGCTCTTGCCAATAAAATCTGTTAATGACTTTCTTTATTGAATTTCATACATTCGGCTCATTTCGAATATGAATGCTTCTTTTCCTGTTTAGGAGTCTATATCCTATCACTGCTCTAAAAAATTTCATTTCTGCAGCTTGCCTTTTTGAGATCTTGTTTTGATCATAGGCCACACTTTACATCTGTACAAGCAGGTTGGTATGGACTGAACTTTATAAAATTTAATGGAAGTGTCTCCTCTTTCTTTTGTACTTTGGCAATTATTTTTATTGTTCCATTAATTTGAATGCCAATTTCACCATAAAATACTATGTCTGCTCCTAGGAATGTAAAGTGTTGTACCTGTTCTACAGCCACTCTATTTTTAAGCGAATTGGATTTTGTCCTTGAAATGCCATCACTTTGGTCTTAGTGTTTGAAATCTTATATTCTGCCGCTGCAGTTCATTTTTGCCGCTGCAGTTGCTTTTTCTTGTACATCTGAATTATTACTGGATTATGTGTGCTCTTGATCAATATCCATCGTTTTGTTGTATTGAAGTCTAAATTATAAAATTGTAATCTCCTCTTTGCTTTGTTATGTATAAATCAAACAATATTGGTGAAAGACTTCATCTGTGTCGCAGATCTTGATCTACTTTTATAATAGTTTCGGTTTTCAAAAAATTACAAATTTTTGATTGATTAACATTCAATTACAGGGACAAGATGTTCAGGTATCCCTTTCTTCCTTAATATCTCAAAGAGATTGTGTCCGGCTAGTGTCAAAAGCTATCCTGAAATCCACATTACATATTGTATGTTTCTCTAGTATATGTTTTAAGACAATGATATTATCTAAAAAACCAAAACAACAACAACAACAACAACAACTTAGAAATTCAATTATTGTCACTCTTCATCCCAGTAATTCTTGCAGCTTGTGATGTGTCAGCTGCATATGAGCATTTGTAGCATTGTATAGTATATTAAATTATGATTTACCACTTTCATATTTTAATCAAAGCTAACAAAGATGCAAATAAAATCCTGTACTTCCTCCTTAGACACCAAGCGTTTGCTATTGTATTCTTGCAATATAAGATTATTAATGATGTTGGAATGTGATATATATAATTGATATCTGATTATTCAAAAAGTTACTGACTCTGCTTAGAAAATAGTTGAATTTTAAAAACTAATTCACTAAACATCATGAAACAAATATTTGCAGTTAGGGAGTTCTAATGAACTTATTGGAAAAATTTAGTGAGAAATTTATAATTGTTATTTGATGATCAAAGAATTAAGTTAAAATTCTTCTGAATGTAGTTCTCTCGCTTTCGAAGGTGAATGTTTTTTTGTCATAAAAACAAAAATTACTCATCAAATTGAAGTAGAAGATGAAATGCAATGTTTCACAACTCAATTAGTCACATCATTTAGTAGTCTGAAATGATACATACAGGTATTACAAATAAAACCATTTTCTTGTTGTAAATTTTAAAAAATGCATAAGCATGTGTAAGATTTAAGAATTAGGAATTTAAATCATATCCAAGTAGCAAAAACTGTTCCACTCAGAGATAAAATACAATTTCATTATGTTAAAGTTGAATAAAAAAATCAAGATTCGATGCAATAAAATGCATTGGTGTATGTATATAAAAGTATGATGCACAAGTCTTTTCTCTGACAAAAAGGCAAAAATTCTTATACGATAAACATTCATGTCAAGTCAAAAAACATCATTTGGTTATCTGATTTAGACATAGGAGAATGACTTGTTGATATGGCTTGTACTTCGGGTGATGCTTTTGATTTTACCAGAAATATGTCCTAGCCATAATGTATATATTGAATCTTATTTTGATACTTGACTTTTTGTGAATTTCTTTAAGTGAAACAGTATTCTGTTCTCAGATATCATTTTCATCCCAAATTCCTAAATCTTACATTTGCTTATGTATTTTAATTGTAGTAATAATAATAAAAAAAGCTTTGTTATTTCTGTATATATTGTTTCAGTCTACCTGATGATGTGACTAATTATGTTGCAAAACGTTCTATTTGAGCTTTAGACTAATTTGATGTGAAAAAAATAAAGAGTGAATCTAAGTGTTGTTTCTAAATATCCCAAGGATACCTCTTTTCCTACATTAATATCACATCATAGACTCTCTTTCTCTCATCACATCATAGATTCTCACTCACGTCATAGATTCTCTTTTTATAAGATGACTTTTTTCTACCACATCTCAAAAATGAATTGATGATCTAAACAAAACTAATTCTGCTGGTGGCTGGTGGTGACAGAAATAAAATAAACAATTACTCAAATCTTTTAAAGAGCCAAGGAATGGCAAATTTTTCACAGAGTTCCATATTTGAATGGATAGTAGGCTACCATCGATACCATTGATAATGAATATCATGAATTTGGAAATGTTTTGATACATAACATGATACATGTACTTCAGAAAATGCCAAAGTCTATAATTTCTGAAACTACAATATGCTCTACAAAACAGTGTTAGTTTTGATCCATCTTCAATGAAGTTTTTCTAGGGGTGAATTAAGTCGTGAGCTACTACATTATTTCTGCATTTAAAAGTTACTGATCTAGTTATCTTGCTTTTGGTGTTTCTTATTTGGCCCAAATTATGGCAGTTCAGAGGTTTGAGGATGTTAGTATGTTTTTCCTATAAATTGAAGTACCTATATAAATGCATATAAGGACAAGTTCACTGTAGCAAACATATACTACTATTGGAAGATCAAGGGGCATGGTTTGGTGAAAAGGAAGTAAGATATATATTCTTTTGATTTGAATCCTTTCTGCTTACTCCATTATTTTCCCAAATGTTATTCAAATCGCAAGGGATTAATTATTAACCACGATATTCAATATCAGTATGACAAAATAATTTTTGCTGTCATGAAATGTGTGTTTTGTAATGAGAAATGATATCTTTATTCTGCAAACTACTCAAAATATTGTAGAAAATATGAAAAGTTTTGTTCTAAAGAAAACCACTTATGAATAAAGTTTTGTTGTTAAAAGTGTAGTAAATTAGATTTTGTTATGACATCTATCTCAAGGAAAATACTATTTACATAGTATTGGGTTTATGACATTATCGAAGAATTTATAGAAAGATCTTGGAAATATATTCATGATTTCAATATATCTTCATTCTTCATAGACAATTGTCCTCAAAGACGAATATTTGCAAGTACTGTATTCTGAAATCCAACTTTAGGTAGTATGAATGAAGTACTATGAATTAATTAAACCTCGAGAAATCTCAAAATTAATATTTAATTTTATTATACAAGTTTTGTGACTTTAGATAAAAGTTTGCGATAATTTCAACAATTGAACCCAATTATCTGTGCACTGCATGTTACCTCTCCTGTTTTGACAGTGTTTTCTGTAAACTGTTGGTCTGGTGTTGTTAGGTCTTTCACATGTTTGGCATGCTTTCACTGTGGTTTAAATGGGTGGAATGTGATGACTTCTGCGATGATTTCTGCTGTATTGAACATGTAGTTCATTTGTACTCTACCTCACCATATGAATAAATTTAGATTTGCTTAAAGAGGTAGCATGGATAAATTTCGAGAATCTATTATTTGTAGTGGCCTGGCCAGGATTATTCGGGGGGGGGGGGGGGGGGGGGGGGGGGAGCTGAAGATGTAATGTCTAGCCGACACATGATGATTTCTTACAAACAATTTTGCATTTAAAAGTAATTTTTATTTGTTAATTTGCTGTAGTATTTAAAATATTATCTTTTTAATTAATAAAAACTGTAATTGTGAATTTGTCATTGACTCTTCGGGGGAGGAGTGTCTCATGAACCCCTGCCCCTATGCCATTGATTATTTGTATAATTTTATGCAATGTATTTTTATGGATTTGTTTCTTAAGAAATTTTTATCCAGTGAAAAACCTAAGTTTTATCACCCATGTAGGATTCTACAATTTTATTAAAAAAATAAAAGGAAATAGCATTTAATTATTCATTGCATTTAGTATATGTTCAGTATTCAACTGATGGTTCTATTTTTTCTAGTTCCAATTGTTGGGAGTGACTGTGGGATGCTGCTGTATCATTTTTGATTTCCCTGTTTCCTTGTCACAATGACAGTAAACAGATTTTTTTCTTATTCTTAGGAAATCTGTAGTAGTTTTGTTGGAAAGGCGAAAATTTCTTTTAAGCTCCATTTACCAACTTAATATTACAGTGAAATAGCTTTATGATCATCATGCTGCTGAGAAATTGTCTACAAGACATTTCTTCTTTTTTTTCCATCCTTACTTTTCTTTTATGGTATGACCTTCAAACCTTCCTGTATGTAGATACTTTGCAATTAATAGCACTGATTATGTTGAAATGCTTTTCTTTATTTAGCCCTCTAAAATAATCACATTCTCCTCTACCAATTAAATACTCCATGTGTTATAAGTTTTTGTCTGAAATAACCAACCCAACCCCTATCCCTTGACACCCACTGGATTTTTCCAGAGTATCGTGTGTGTGGCCCACCAGCAAGAGATTCAACTGCAGCTGTATGATGCTGACGACCTCTCCAAGAAGGATGAGAGTTTAGGAAGGTGAGGAGGTGATGGTGCTGGTTGGAAATTTATTCTATTTCTGGAGGGCCATGTGGCAGTCTTGTAGGAATATGCATCTGTTAAAATGCGCATACAAAGAATGTGATAATGTATTCTTTTGGTGATATCTGGCTCTTTAGAATATTTAATTGTTGAATAACTCTCAATATTTCTTCAGTTAGAACAGATTGTTAGTCCAATACAAATCAAATAAACCCCCTAATGTTAAATAATATTTCATAAATTTGATTAAATCCATCAGAATTTAGTGAACAGTTATACCTGTGGCCGATATTGTTTTCACTTATAATGCCAAAATATTATCATTATGATAATTATCTATCATTATTATTATGACAATCATCAGATAGTTTAACACAAAAATAATACTCATAAATATAAATAAAACTGATGCACAAATCTCATTGGTGTTTTTAGATATATTTTGTGTGCAATTAATTAATGACTTTGTTACTGTCCTTACAGAATAAATAATATGTAAGTTACTTTGATAATGGTCATTTGTTTCTTATTAGGTGGTACTTTCTGACATGTATCTAGTGTGTATTCAGAAAAAGGAGTATTTTACATGTACCATACCAGTTATCACAAAAAGAATAATTTTGCCTGAAATAAAAAATTCGAAATTCTCAAACGTATGTGCATCAGCATTTTCCTTCTTGCGTAACAGGGAAAAATGGCATGTTATGTGTATTTTATTATTTGTTTTGCATATTAATGGGAAATTTTCGCCTACCAAAAAGAACAAAGAACTAAACTTAGTGTCTTTGTTACTGTGAACAACAGTAAATTTGTGAAATGACATTTAATTTTTTTCTGTCTAGTGATCCTTTTTATTTATTCTAAATTAAGGCATCAAACCACTACTAAAACTTATAAAACTTATGGTATGAGATCAAAACCCAAATATTATTCTTTTATTAAAAAACTGCTGGAACCATATCGCCAAATATAATGGTTCAGATAATTTTGTGTTACTGGTTAATACGGGCTATTTCAAGAAGTTTTTCAAGACTGTGAACCATACATTTTTGGGTGTGTACTTCTAAAGGATTGGATAAGATTTCCCTTTTGTTCAGTCAGAGAGAAAAGAAACAGTTACTTTCTAACTTTTCCAAATTATGCCCAAGTATTTCGGTAAAATTGAACAGAGAACATAGATATTATTTTACTGATGTATTTGGGATGTATAGAACAATTTTTATTTATTTACTACTACTACTAATTATTATTATTATTATTATTATTATTATTATTATTATTATTATTATTATTGTTGTTGTTTTAATTTAAGAGAGACTTCTTATGCGTTGGAGGATTGGTTAGTTTCTTACCTACTCCTGAGCAGCTGCAACTTTTGTAGAGATAGCACATTTTTAGTTAAACAATTAATAAAAATAATTTAATTAAATCATTAAAAGTTTTAACAAGAAAATGATGAACAGTTTCTAAAACCAAAATTAAAATCTAAAGTTTTTAAGGTTTACTAGTTTGTTACTAAGTGTTTAAGAATCTGAAATAAAACATGTTACTTCTTACATTAAACCCCTTCTGGATATTTTGCATTCTTTATGCCCACATGGTCCTTTTGAATACTTAAGGCCTACTACCAAGCCAACGAATAACTGTATCTTTGTGATTTTTTTTTTTTAATTCAAAATTCAAAAACACAATCAATACATGACATAGGACATACAGAAAAAAATAATGTGAATCTTGAACACGAGTAGGGAGCCTTGCTGATGAAGTGAAGCCACACAGACGCCCACATACACGCTCACGCTCATCCTCATCCGCACATACACGCTCACGCGCATCCTCATCCGCACATACACGCTCACGCGCATCCCTACGCTCACGCGCACATACAGGCTCACGCGCATTCCCCACGCTCACGCGCATCCCCACGCTCACGCGCATCCCCACGCTCACGCGCATCCCCACGCTCACGCGCACATACACGCTTACGCGCATCCCCACGATCACGCGCACATACACGCTTACGCGCATCCCCACGATCACGCGCACATACACGCTTACGCGCACCCCCACGTGTACATGCACGCTCACGCTCTTCCCCACTAGCATGCGCATCTCCACGCACGCGCGACACGCGTGCGGGTTTTTATGTAATAACATATTTTTTGTCTTTCTACTTACCAAATTGAAAATTGTAATTCTGGCAAATCAATGTTCTAACACAATTACATTTTTAGTTACATATATTTACATATTTAGTACTATATTACATATTTTACATGTTTTGTTATTTTCACAATTTATATTTTTATTCTATCATGTTCCTTCAATTTTATTACTTTTTTAATAAGCGTTTTTTTCTACGTGCTGTCTACTTGAGGTATGCTATGCTTGAGACACGGTTGTTTTTTACTCACATTTATCTCAATGGGGAAAGTGTGCATCAGTGACTGAGACCATTTTCACCTTTAGGTGTGAAAAGTATCTTGACGCTGTATTTTGTGACTTTTAATCTTAATTTCCAAAAGAACTTTGGGGATCACCGAGTGTAATACAGAAAGCTGCATGCTGCAGTGATTGTTTGCTGGTCGTAGATACTGCTAGTTTGAATGATGGCTTCTATTGCGTCTAGTCTGGCTCCTAAACTACACTTCTGTTAAACAATAGATAAAGCTTTTACTACTGACAGGAAACTTGTTTGGTGGAGTGTGCATTGCCTTGTGCGCTCCAAATGCTTTTTAAAATGTTCGTATTATTTCTAAAATCTGTTTAGGAATATTTTCATAAATGAAATTTTGCATTACATAAATGTGTTTCATTAATTAGAGTATTTTGATATTACATTTTATATCTGAATTTACATATTTATTACGTATTCTTTCTGTTTTCATTACCTATGTATGTTGACACTTTGACGTTTCTTCCTACATATTTATCCGGTCTCTACTCATAATCATTAATTCATTAAAGGGCATGTACGACTACCAGGCACAGTTACATTCACACTAATACATTTATCACCACCCTGCTGAAGCAGGAGCCCTTTGCCCTTAAAGGGATTTTGTAGGCTCTATAAATAAAATACGTTCATGTACAAGCAGATGTGCATTTCACTTATCATTATTTCAAATTGTAGTAAGTGAAAACTAAAAGCAAATATCAAAAGTGTTGTGATAAAATGTTAGTTGTATCAAAAGAATTGGTATGTTTCTTTATATAGAAACCGGAATAAAATAATCATAATTTTTGAAAAAGAATGTGTTTATATCTTTATTAGCAAAACAAATATATTTAATTAATATTCATTATAAGCCAATTTTTAGGACCATTTTTTTAAAATTTGATTACTTCAACCTTAAATGTTCCAAAGAAAACTTGAAGAAATTACTTTTCAAATATTTTCATATTTGATTATGAGAATAGTAACAAAGTTCACTAGTTCTCTTGTTCTGGAAATACTGACATGTGGAATTTTTGTTGCGGTTTCAATGTTTCTGTTCTTCAGCAATATCTTCATCAATGTAAAAACGAATGTGCATCATATGCTTTTTAGTGCATTATCTTCATCATTTTCATTTCTTGAGAAGAAACCATTCCCTGTCAAAGAATTTCATGGATCAAATGTCAGTGAAAAAAAAATTAAATAGAAGTTCTATTACAACTATAAGTATTAATTTTATATGAAATAATTGTTTCTTTACCCATTGAGGAGAAATTGTGTAGTTTTCGTAAAATTTAAAGAGTAATAAGATAATAGGAAATATTTCATAATGAGAGCCAATTTACATCTGTTTCTCTTATTGTGCACTGATAGCCATCTTTCTTAACACAGCTATTAGAAAGAAATTCTTGACATTTAAAATAATCAAATTGAGAAATATATACAAAGATAAATTTGCTCTCAATACTTAAGTGCTGCCCTTGAACCTCCAGATTATGATAGTATTTACAATATGAAGCGCAATTAATTTATAAACACGTAAATTCATAATTGCATTTAGTAACATAGGCTTACATTAACTTGCTTTATCAAGTGCTGGAATTGTATTAACATAGAAAATTCAATGTTGTTATTATTATACATAAAAAGTATTCCTAAATTCTTCTAGTAACATAACTTTTAAAATTACAGGTGAGTGAAGACTATTCTGCATAGAAATTACAGTTCATTCCTCTGTTTTATGAAGATAAGTCCACCTTTGGTGGGATAATGATTTTAAAAATTGTAGTAGTTGTAATAGTTATGTTATTGGAAGTTAATTAGTAAGAATTTAAAAACATAATATAACATATGAAATTCAGAAAATTAATATAGTTAGTATGTAATATTTAAAAAAATCAATAATGCACTTATAAAGCAGGGTGCACATGCACTTGTGGTTATGTGAGTACACTGAATGCATGTTGGTGCTGGGTTTCTGTTTTTGCATGTAGATTATATCCTCTCCGTTTATTTCATTTAAATTTTTTTCTTTTATAGATATGCCTGATGTACATATCCAGTTTACTAATTTTATAAACTTAATATTAATGCTCTTTAAGGTTGCTCAAAGTGATAGATATAGTACATCTAAGAAGGTGTTTTCAAGTTTTAAGATACTGTCTTATGAAGTGTGTGGCCAACAAAACTGCTGAGATCTAGAGGTTATTAATAAATGTTTGATGTGCAATTGTGCCTATTGTTTAGTGTAGTAATGTGGAAAGTATATGTTGCTTTAATTTTTTTGTTTTTTATTTCTCATTTTAGAAGAGTACATTTCAGTTTTTATCATTACATTGGAACTATCAGAATTGTGAAGAAGCTTCTGCCCTTTGGATTGACATCGTGTATTTTGTAATTGCTTATTTAAATGTTGTTACTTCAATGTTTCTTCATTGCCCTGTAACATTTCATTCTTCTTTATCTTTATTATTAGATATTTGTGTATTGTGAACATTTTTCTACTTCCGTGGAATGTAAACTGTGGAAATGTAACTTGTGACAAATCTGACAATATATG